TCTGTGCTTTGTTTTTTGTTTAATTATTTAAAATAGTAAAAAATTAGGAAAATAGATTATATAAGACTATAGTGTTTAGATAAATGTTTTGACTAAACATTTTAAAGTGATTGTAAAAGTAATATTTTGTGTTTATGTGTGTTCCCAGTTTTGGGTTGCAGCTGGAAGGGCATACGCTGCATAAAACATAAGTTGGCGGTTCATTTTCCTCTGGCAACGGCAGATTATAAAGGGACTAAGCTGACAAGAAAATGAATGAATAAATGTTTATATGTGTGTGTGTGTGTGTGTGTGTGTGTGTGTGTGTGTGTGTGTGTGTTTGTGTGAGAGAGAGAGAGAGAGAGAGAGAGAGAGAGAGAGAAAGAGAGGGTGATGCCACTATCTGCAAAATTAAAACTGCACTTTTTTCTGTCATTACATTTGCATTTTAGTTTTGTGAAGCAGTTAAGCTGGTTGAGAGAGTTACACTAAAAAAGAATGCTGACTTCCACACAATCCCTTTATGCTGCTCACACGCAAATCAATTAAATGTTAATTTTTTTTTTTGCAATTTTTAGTTGATTGTATATAAAACAAATAAGTTGCCACCTCTCCCCCGAAAAACATAAAAATGTGTAATCTTTTTAAAAATGTTGTTTTGTAAACATAAAACTTTTAAATGCAATTAAAAAACCTTTGCATTTTGGGCTACATTGTTGTTGTGTAAACGTAGCCTTAAACGTAAACTGTAAGTCAATATTTTCCATTCCTTCATTAGGAAGTTGAGAGTAAAAGCTCATGCAGTGCATTATGGGATTAAAACCAAAACCAGTACTAAGCGCAGATTTGAAAAATCATGATCGGGATACCACCTTCGCCTCATTTTGAGCCTGGAAAAACCCAGAATGCAGTTTATTTTACTTAAAAACAAACAAACAATACAAGCCATAAATTACCAAATACCATCACAAGCCATCTAAATCAGTAAATTATCGCGATTTTGAATGCATTTTGGGACATACACTCATTAGAATTTGTTGGGTTTAGCATGCTACTGTTAGTAGAGACCCACCTGACAGCCTACAGCTTTCCATTATGTTTTTGAATGATTTGTATTGCTTTTTTGTTTTTCCTGCAACAGCAGGAATAGCCCGTTTTTGCACATTTTGGTTATTTGTGATAATTTTGTGGTGGGAAAACACATTTTTTATAAATCTGACTTAGAGTGACTGTTTTTAAACTATGTTTGTGGTCATATATTTTTACTTTGAAAAGGCACATTTTCAAACAGAGAAAGGATTTTTAGTTCTCCTTTCTGGCCACAGACAAGTATAATAATGATCATAGGAAGTGACGCAGTCTATTTAAGATTCCATAACCTACTGTATACATATGAATAATAAAATGAATCAGTTTTTTTTTTTTTTTGATTTGACCACATAGACTATATGAGTGAGACCAAGCCAACTGTATTAAGCCTGACTGATCTAGAGGGCTTAGTCATAATAATCGTGCTGTGTACAGTATTTCCCTTTTAACAATAAATGCTGATCAGCCTAACACAATCTTTTTCAGATGACAAATGTATACTACATTGTAAAGGCATGAGAAATTGTAAATACACACTTAGTTTGTTTTACTTGTTTAACCTTACTGAAAGTGTTATTTCCTCATATAAACTAAAGTGGGCCTAACCATTGTATTTCAGGTTGTTTATTTAAAAAAAAAAAAAGAAAAGAAAAAAAAAAAGAAAATTATGTATTTGAGGAGATTCGTAGTAGACTTGTAGCACTTCCTTAAAAAATGACAGAAACACTGCCTCATGTGTTTCAAGACCTCCTCGGCTGACATCTGGTGATGTGTTTTCAGCAATTCCTCAAAAATTGTCAAAAAATATACCAATGATAATTCTACAGTACTTTGCTGCCACCTGCTGATAAACATTTTTTGTCACATGGTACATGTGTGACACCACAAGCCAAGGATTTTTGAATGAAATTTTAATTTTTTTTGCAGTTCAGCAAGGCAACATTTGTGATCTGGACTTCAATTTTAAGTCTAGTGTCTAGTGTTTGAATTAACAAATGAAGAAAGTGGTATATAATACTGTAAAAATTTTTATAATCATTCATAAAACATTTTTTAATTTAGGGTAATGAAAGAGATTTGAGTTGGTTTAAAGAAAAAAATGTTTTTTTAAATATAAATACGATTAAAATATGTATTTTATATGAAGATTTACGCTATGACAAACTCATTGAACAACCTTAGCATAATTTCTATGCACTGTTGAGTTGTGAAATACAGTGTAGGCTACACAATACCAAGAATAGGTTATTTTGGCTCACTCATGTTAGATAAACTCTGGTAAATAGACAAAATAGGGTTACTGTGTCAGCTTAATCAAGCCATCAACCACATGCTTTTAAGTCCAAGGTCAACATGGTGGGCGTATGAACCTCAGTTAAAGGGATAATTCACCCTAAAAGAAAAATTAACACTATTAAACTCACTCTCAAGTGGTTATACTTGTATTGATATAAATTTCTTCTGTTGGACACAAAAGAATATATTTGAAAGAAAGCTGAACCTGATAAAACCAATACTTTGATGTCAATGGTTGCAGGTTTCCAGCTTTCTTCAAAATATCTTATTTTGTGGTCAACAGAAGTAAGAATAACCATTTGATGCTGAGTAAATAGAGTGTAAATCTTCATTTTTTAGTGAACTACTTTTAAGGTCCGTGACCTTAAAAGTAAAAATCATAATCACGATTATTTTGGCCATAATTGTAATCGCGATAATTCAAAATGGTTATCGGTTGAAGTCAAAATTATTCGCCCTCCTGTGATTTTTTTTTTTTTTTTAAATAAATATTTCCCAAATTATGTTTGACAGAGCAAAGAATTTTAACAGTATTTCCTATAATATTTTTTTCATCTGGAGAAAGTCTTATTTGTTTTATTTTGGCTAGAATAAAAGTAGGTTTAAATATTTTTAAACCTTTTTTAAGGGGAAATGAAGCACGCCGTCAAGTTTACCTTATTTTGTACATTGGATTCCACTTTAATGAAAATATATTAAACAACCTTAATTAATATAACCATTTAGATGAAACGGCATGTTTTACTATAGATTTTAGACCTAGGGCGCAGCCATCTTGAAATGTCGCTGTGTCTGACGTCACGGGGTTGGTTTAGTTCCCTCTGCTGAACAGATACAGTGGAAGGAGACTGTAAAGCCTAATTTAACCTAATGCGTGAAGTTGTAGGTGTGGAGCTGGTGCGAATACAAGCATCAGATGTGTGTTTAATGTAAAAGTATATATATTTATTCTATTTTTCTTTTTTTCCCTTTTAATTACCAATCATTTGATGCACTTTGATGCTCTCTGTATTACGCTATAATCGTTAGAAGCCAAAATCTAAACTGAAACCGGATTTTCGATTAATTGTACAGCCCTAACAGTCAGGCTGTGTCAAGTGAAGTTTATTTATAAACTAGTTTCGAGAGGGTCACATGCTTATGATTGCTTGCAGCCGGCCCCACATTATTCAATTTATGATTCACCAATCAGTTGATTCCTTAGCCACTATAAATAGAACTACATATAAACAGCCATCTTCGTTTTGAAGAATCCCCCCTTCCACCCTACTCCTCCTCCCTTCCTAGATAAGTGGCACAGTGGCTCAGTGGTTAGCACTGTTGCCTCACAGCAAGAATGTCACTGGTTCTAGTCCTTACAATGCCAGCTGACTTTTTTGTGCGAAGTTTACATGGTCTCCCCATGCTCACGTGGGTTTCCCCCGGGTTTCCCGGTTTCCTCCCGCCATCCAAAAACATGCAACTTAAGTTAATTGACTAATCCAAATCAGCACCATAGCCATGCTCCTAGTAAATAGTTATTTCTTACAAACAATCACTATCTGTTCATTAGCTACTACAGCAGGGGAGTTCTCAAGATCTACCTGAGCTCAAATTCCCCTCTCGCCTTGCGAACGGGAGGAAGCCCCTGGTTCAAGAATCTTATGAGCTCAGCGCTCTCTCCCAGGACAGGATGCCAAACAAGCTTTAAGAAACTTGTATCGAAATATTTGAAATGTGAAGGCAGTCACCTCATAAGTCTTTGTAAAAGAAACACTGTGAGCAAATTGATTGATTTATTTTATTTTTTTCTGTAGTGTATGCCTACCGGTTAGTAGGCCTTGTTTCATTTGGCTTGTAGTGCTGTTGATGAATAGCTCTAAATGACTTTTTCCACACTGGCAACATGTTTACAGTGCCTTCCTCCTGCTCTTTATGCCACTGTGTGATGCCTGGCAATATGGTGATGGCTGCATCAAGTTTGTGAAGTATTTAAGATATTATAATACTAAACAAGCTGATGTTGCTGTTTAGTCATTGTACACTTAAATAAATATGGTAAAAATTTTTATATAATAAATGAGCTTTTCATCTCAATGAGGATCATTGAGTGTCTTTGTGATGGATGATTTGTTACTTGCTGTTTTATTTATGATTCATGTTGGTATTAGCTTTTTTTTTTTTTTTTTTTGCATATTTTCAAAATGCTTACAGCTTATAATCAAGGCTTAATGACAATGCTAAAATGCGGGTCTCATGTCCAAACCTATTGGTCCAAACTAGTACAATACAAAGGGTAGTTCATTTTGCCATGTTTGTGTTGGAATTAATGAATACTGAGAAATCAGCATAAACTCTGTCAGCTCCATCAAACCATCATACATGATTGTTTATATGAGATCATTTATAATCTGCTTTCATGAAATTCTGCTGTTTGCCTTATGTGAAATAATCCTACAACAGAAATTATCTTTTATTATTTGTGAATGAAGATCTTGAATAGTGTTTAATTTTCTATATGCAGTGCAGTAGAGTTTTGCAATGACTGACTTTAGTATAAGGGCAAAGAGTAGTGTGTTTTGGCACACTTGTATTGAAAATTACACATAAAACAGATTCACCCTAACTTCAGCAGCAGCAGAGGAGCTGTGAATGAGCAGACATTAATATCCTACTCTGTTTTATATCACCTCCTGTTCTTTTCCTACAGGTATGTTCCATTCATTTCTAAAAAAAATAATAATACATTTAAAAAGATACAGAAACAATGTACAATGCATTGATATTTAGCAAATTCTGTAGATTTTTCATAATAAACTTTTTAGTGGAATAATCCAACAGAATCTCACGCCAATTCATATTTTTCATTTACTAGCCAATTTTTATTCATTTGTACACTGTGAACAATTTTCTTTAGAATCTAAAATAACTTATACTGTCAATTTTACAATGCAATTTAAAATACAGTAATGTACTCCATAACTGTCCTACAGTAAAATTCAGTTCATGTTACAGTTCAGTTCACCAATAACTTAATGTAAATTAAATACAGCAAAATACTGTATTTACATTTACAGCACTTTTCCTTAGTATGAATTTACAGTTTTGTATAGACCTTTACCCTAAAAAATACAGTAATTTTTACAATGCTACATTGAAATACAGTTACATGCATAACTGTCCTACAGAAAAATTCAGTTCATATTACAGTTCAGTTCGGCAGTAAGTTACTGTAAATTATTTACAGCAAAAATATGGTATTTACATTTACAACACCATTTACCTTCCTTTGTATGTATTTACAGCTTTGTTTATCTTTACTCTAAAAATACAGTAATTTTCACAATGCAACATTGAAATACAGTAACATAGTGCATAACTGTCCTACTGTGTAATTTACAAAAGTTGTTAACAGTGTAGCTATGATCTAATTTGCATATTTTTGTAAGACTTGTTTATGCACTAGTGAATGAGGGGGTTTAAAGGCACAACTTCTTTAAAATATTAGCCACTTCTGATGTTGCATAAAATAAATTGGGCTGGAATATCCAATGGTTTATGTGTTGAGACAGGCTGTCATTTTGAGATTTTCAAAACAATAACGGATATTTCTAATCTTATTATTATTTGAATAAAGTGTATTGTATTGTCTAATTTGTTGTGTTGTAGTTATCGCTAAAGTGTATGTATAGGTATCAAATGCTAACACGAAAAAGCATGTGACCTCTGTGCTTTAATGTGAAAAACAAAGGGTTAGTTCAAGCAAAAAATAAAGTTCTGTCATCATTTGGCCTACTCACCAATTACTTGCTTATACTTGTTTGAGATTCTTTCTTTTGTTGAAGACAAACAAAGACATTTTGAAAAATGTTGGAATCCCTTTATCCACTGACTTTCATAGTATTTGTGATCCCTACTATGAAGTCAATTGTACAGGTTTCCAGCATTCTTCAAAATATATTTTTCATTTGACAGAAAAATGAAACTCATAAGGTTTAAAATGAGGGTGACTAAATGATCAGTACATTTTCATTTTTGGTGAACAATACCTTTAACCCTCAGAGAAAAAGATAATTTCCACACACAAATCAATATTCCTCATTTGGCTGTTAATAATTTTTTGTAATTGTTATTCGTTTTTTGTAGCTCCAAAGCCAATTTTGTTTTTGAAAAACCCAATATGTTACATTGACTCATAAGATGGTTACAGAATAAACCATGTTACTGTTTTTACAGGACAAATATCTTCAAGAATGAGAATCCCAGTGTTTCTGCTGTTTTTGGTGTTCACCATGTGTTCAATTCAGCTAGTTCCTGCTATGCCTGCCAGTGAGTCAACTAACAATTATTTTTAGATTATTTTATGAATGTGATATAATATACATATATATTATTAAACTACTACATTTCTAGGCTGGATTTCACAGCATTGGGTAGTTCTCATTTAAAACACTTCTGTTAAAGCATAACTAAATGTTCACTTTTATCATTTGACAGTGTGTGATGATTACAATATCACTATCTCAATAAATAATCTGTTAACATGGTCTTAACAAAGCAATGTGCTTTTGCATGTCAAAAAAACAAATAATTAAGTCAGTGTTACAATTATAAAGGGCACCTAGGTCACCCCTTTTTTCAGATTTAAAATAAGTGCTTTGCGTCTCCAGAATGTGTCTGTAAAGTTTCAGCTCAAAACACCCATCAGATTTTTCATTATACCTTTTACAAGATTCTATTTTATACATTTTTGCACTAGGGGGCAGTTTTGTTGTACTGCGCCTTTAAGGCTAGTCCTCCCCGCCTACCATTTCTACATGCCTTTCTGCATGCCTTGATCTCCTCCCTCGGATGTGTCAGACAACAGACAGACTTAAAGGTAGATCTCACAACAAGATGTTTTGTCTTTTTTAATGTACATATTTCTGATATTGTGTATGTCTTCATATTTCAGCTCCAATTGCAATAAATTCAGCGAAATCAGTCTGCTGTGAAGGGATCACTCATAAGGTTATTCCTCTGAAGCAAATAATGTCTTACCAGTGGACCACCAGTACATGTCCTATAAAAGCCATTGTGTGAGTGTCATCTTAAACATTATTTCAAACTGTTAAGCCACCCTGAATATTTAAAACCTAAAATTGTCTTATTTCTACTTTTTGTTCTATTTTCATTAGGTTTAAGACAATTGCAGGCAGAGAAATCTGTGTAGATCCTCAGAACACCTTGGTCAAGAAACACATTGCTAATCTGGACAAAAGAACATCATCTACTACAGCATTATCTCCTGAATCCACATTTACAACAGCAGAAACTCCAGCATCAACATCTGCTACAGCATCTTCTTCTGAATCCACATCTGCAAAATCATCTCCAGCATCCACATCTGCTACAGCATTATCCCATGAATACACATCTGCGTCAACAGTAACCTTTACTACAGCAGAGTCTCACAGCACCTCAGTTTAGATGAATCTGCAGTTATTTGAAAACATTAATTTTTATATTGCATATTCACTCTATTTGTAATGTATATGAACATCTAATATTTAAAAAAATTGTTTACGCTAAATGGAATTTTGTTCATCTGTTTTAATAAAACACAAGCAAGCATCATCATCTAGTGATGTGATTTCTTCTTTTCTGGATTTCCTGTAAGCATCTCTTTCTTTAAACTGCATTTGCATGTATTTCATTTTCATTACACTTTATAAAAAGGCTGTTTTTAAATAGGAACAGACACAACTATCTGACAGTTTTTTTTTAGATTACAAACACTCTGCAGCACAGTAAAGACACTTGGGTTCAGACTACACAATTGTGTCTATTACAAATCACTATCATATTTCATTCTATTAGTTTTGACTCCTAAATCCTAAATTCTTGTTAAGTTACAGACAAAAAAAACGTCACACCATAAAACAATAAATACAACAAAAAAAAACAGTTGCACTTGTGATTCACAGGTGTTTTCCATTTAAGCTTTTAATGTAGTTCATGACTTCTTTATTTTGGTCATTTTAGTAGTTTGAAACAATATATTGTACAAGAAACATTATATATAGAAATAAATGCCTAAAATAACAGTACTAGTAACCTTATTCGATTTTTGTACCGTAATATACATGACCAACCCAGACAATATCATTTCTAAAATATGAAACCTGTCAGTAAATGTTGCTGTGTTAAATTTTTGAGCATCAAAAGTTGTCTAAGCAGTGGTCAAGGACTGAAAAAATATATTCATTCATTTTCTTTTCGGCTTAGCCCCTTTAATAATCTGAGGTCGCCACAGCAGAATGAACCACCAACTTATTCAGCATATGAAGAGCATGCCCTTCCAGCTGCAACCCATCACCGGGTAAACATCCCTATACACTTATTCACACACATACTCTACGGCCAATTTAGCTTACCCAATTCACCTATACCACATGTCTTTGAACTTGTGGAGGAAACCCACACAAATAAGGGGAGAACATGCAAACTCCACACAGAAATACCAACTTCTTGGTATGAGGCTGGGTACATTTGGCTAATTCTGGGTACTTTAATTTTAGCAGAATACATCTGGGAGAAAGGAAGGAACGAAAGAAAGAAAGAAAGAAAGAAAGAAAGAAAGAAAGAAAGAAAGAAAGAAAGAAAGAAAGAAAGAAAGAAAGAAAGAAAGAAAGAAAGAAAAAAAATAAGAAAGAAAGCATACTTTTGGAATTTTTAATAACATGTGTTACACTCTCAAAAAAATTGTTTAACTATTTTAATTTTTAAAAAAATTTACAAATGTTTTTTTAATGTTTACTTGTAGATTACAGTCACGGCAAAATGTGTGATATTATCAAGAAGGCAAAACAATAGTAACTACTGATTACATTCTTTTTACAATTTTTGTATATAATATTTAATTTTATAATTTTTATATTATATTAAAGTTGCCATGTGAACTTCCTAATTAAATTATATTATTAAATACATAGAAAAAATACTTTAATTGTATCAATAATAATATATTTTTTACATTTTAAAATGTAATTCTTACAATAACCATTAACATAAACAATCTAACAAAAAAATCCCTTAATAGTAAAATATGTGTCCTAATAGTGTTTTTTTTAGCAACATGCCACACATATATATCTGACAGCATCTAAAAAACATAATGTGTTTTAGAGTTTCATGACCCTTTAAATATCTGGTTAAATCAGGTTTAATTCAAACATTTAATATCAGTTTTTTTTTTTTGTAGCTCAGCATTTAAACAAACGAACAAAAGGTTATTTAAAATTTATAAATGATAATCTCTGTTTGAGGGATTTGCCCTACCTTCCCCATCATTTGTCCATGTCTTCTCATATTGGTTGGATAGGCCCCCTATGCCCTACTAGGGCCCGTGTGCCAAAGTTGGCCAATGGTAACCTTTGATTTGGCCCCTAGTTTGGGCATCTCTAATTTAGAGCATTTATTTTCAGACTATGACAGTAAAAAATAACAATGAAAATATATGTTTATTACAGTTTTTGTCAGTCACTTTGGTGCATTTCTCACAACACTATTTACATTTGCACAAAAGTTAATGCATTTCTCAGAACAATTAGTGCAAACTGCAAAACCTAGCTGATAACCTGCCAAAGTGTGCCACTTGCTTAAAATGGATAGTTAATTCCTCAAAAGCAAGAATCCATGTCAATGAAAGTGTCAGTTTCATCAAGATGAAAAGTCCTGACATCATTGTTTATGAACAGGATAGTCAAATGACTGTCATGTTTTTATTATGATGTTAACTCTCTACATTTTTTATATGTGAAAAAGTAAGATTTTGGTGACACGTCCTGAAAATGCTCAAGACAGCACTATATGCAACAGTTCTTCTCAGTTGCTTTAGTGTATTTCTCACAACACTATTTAAATTAATGCATTTAAATTAAGGCATTTCTCAAAACAATTAGTCCTTTGTGCACATCCTAGTAGCAATTTCTCATTCCTTCTAACAAATTGCAAATGCTTTTGAACATGCATCAGTTGCTTTTATACAACTCTCTGCTGTTTATAGCATTATCATTTGCTTATGTCATGTCAGTCAAAATGAACTAAAGTTGTGAATGCTGAATAGTCATTCCATATAAATCTAAGAGTCCTCCTTGACTCTTGAAACTTGAATTTACTTTGCACAATATTTCCTTCATAGAGGGTAAAATGCTGATAGATCTATGACACAACACCATCACCTTCAGTCACGTCCTCTTTTCTTCTTATAAGTGTTCCATCTGAATTATCTGGGTTAAAGTTTTACTTTCAAGTTATTATTTGTTTTTCCTAAAACTTTAACAGGCGACAAGTAGTGTATAGACAAAATACAGTAGTAAAGTAACTGTAATATAGAATGGAGTCATGAATGAACACGTCTCCTTCTTTGAATATTTGCAGCTGTGAAAGTTAATACTGAGAAGTAAAACAGAAGTAGAACGCGGATGAGGGAAGGAAACAGCTCAAACCTGTCAACATGCTAATCCTCAGAAGAGCATTTACTTGAACAATAATAAACCTACTCAGTAGATCAGTAACAAAAGGTTATTCTGTGAAATAAATATATTTTCCACTGTCAAACTTTCAGATTGGTTTCTTTTCAAGTCAAGTTTATGTAAAATTAAAAGATTAGGGTGGCGTGGTGGCTCAGTGGTTAGCACTGTCGCCTCACAGCAAGAAGGTCACTGGTTTGAGTCCCTGCTACAATTGGATTCAATAAGTTGGCCGTAGTGTATGTGTGTGAATGAGTGTGTATGAGTGTTTCACAATACTGGGTTGCGGCTGGATGGGCGTCCGCTGCATAAAACATATGCTGGAATAGTTAGCGGTTCATTGAGCTGTGGCCGCCTCTGAAATAGAGACTAAGCTGAAAGAAAATTAATTAAATCTTGATTATTCACTCAATCTGTTTTGATTATTCACTCAAACTATTTTGAAAGTGCTTGTAAATTTAGCAAAATAATTACAAAAAAAGCTAATAAAAATGAATAAAATATTAAATTCCGAAGTAGAAAAATTGTATTTTAATAAGATAAATTTTACTACAGTTCAATTGAAAAGGAATATATTCATTTAGACTATTACTTAGGGTATTTATCACTGAATACTGATTTACACACACAACTGTTGTTGTTATTATTATTTTATCAGTATTTAATCATCCTCCGTTTTTTCCTTATTCTCTCTTTACCAGGTAAAATTGTTATTATTTTATTATCAGTATTTATTTATTCATCTACAGCATGATTATTACCTCTATCATTGGTTTAGTTTAAATTTTAGAATAGTTTGGCAAATAAATTGCT